CATTAAATTGTATATTGATAAGCACTTAGTTTATAGCCTATCTTTCACTATCACAAACAAGCAAGCAACATCCTTATGTACATATGAGAGTGTTTCTTAGCAGTGCAATTATTTGATTAAATGATAGTTCAATTTAAAATTCTGATAAATAATATTAAGTTGCTATTCATCTTAATGCACATCAACAATGTATGAGTACAAATTCCCCTTCACTCTGTGACACTGTATTAGAAATCTTTAAATTTTGTCACTGTAATGAATGAGAAAAGGTCTTGTATTAATTTGCATTTCTCTGATTACTAGGAAGTTCACATATCATATCAAATGTTTATTAACCATTTGTATTTTTTCTTTTGTGAATTACTTAATCGTACTTTTTGCCCATTTTTCTATTGAGTTGACTTTTTTTATTGATTTGTGGGTGTTAAAGAGAAACACCACAGGCCCCAAATGGCATCACTCATACTAAAGCTCATGACCTAACTGCAGTTTCTACCTTCACCAGAAATGTAATCAATCAACCAGTCTGGAATTTTCTGGTCAACACCAATGAGGTAATCTGCAAGTGAGCCCTCTCCGTTTTCCCTCCTCCATAGCAAAAAGAGACAATCCTCATGACAAAAATCTTGCCTTTCTCTTCTTCCCAAAAGATGTCCTGGTCTAAAAAGAATTCATTCTTTATGTTAATAGCTCCCTTGCCCACTCTTCTTCCTATAAAAACTTTCCATTTGGTACAACCCCTCTGAGTGCCCTTCTAGTTGCTAGATGGCATGATGTCTGATTCACGAATTGTTTAATAAAGCCAATCAGATCTTCAAATTTATTCGGTTGAATTCTCTTCTTTAACAGGAGTTACATATCTACAGTTGTATTCTGTGTAATGACGTTTCAGTCAATGACAGACTGCATACCACAGTGGTCCCTTAAGAATATAATGGAACTGAAAAATTCCTCTTGCCTGGTGATAGCATAGCTGTTGTACTGTGGTAGCATTATGCACGTGACTGTGGTGATGCTGGAGTAAACAAACCTACTTCGCTGACAATCATATAAAAGTATAGCAATACAATTATGCACAGCACATAATACTTGATGATAATAAATGACTGTTACTGGTTAATGTATTTACTATATTATACTTTTTAATCATTTTATAGTGTACTTTTTCTACTTAAAAAAAAAAAAAAGGTTCGCTGTAAAGTATGCTGTTATGCCCACAGCAGCCTCAGACATCTTGTGTAACTTTTCTGTGTTTTGGTACACAAATACGTGGCATTGTGTTATAACTGTATACAGTACAGTAACATGCTGTACAGGCTTGTAGCCTAGCAGCAATACGCTGTACCATACAGCCTAGGTGTGTGGTAGGCTATATCAGGGGTCGGCAAACTTTTGAGGTGGAAGAGCCACCAGGGGTCAGCAAACTGAGGCTCACGAGCCACATGCAGCTCTTTGGGTACGTACATGTGGCTCTGAAGTAAAATGGAAAATAAAAATAAAAGTATCATATTTTCATTTATAAAATTTTTAAAGGATATTAGTCACATAATGATGATTATGTAAAAATACATTTATGGCTCTCGAATAATTTTTAAATTGTTGTGAGGGACAGGATTGGCTCTTCCAGGGATCAGCAAACTTCTGAGATGGAACGTACCCAAAGAGCCACATGTGGCTCACGAGCCGCAGTTTGCCGACCCCTGGGCTATACCATCTAGGTTTGCGTAAGTGCACTCTGTGATGTTCACACAATGACAACATGACCTAATGACACATTTCTCAGACGGTATTCCTGTTAAGCGGTACATGACAGTATTTTAAAGCGAACCTCAGGAGATATAAACTCATTCAACTTGAGATCCAGAACTTTATGATTTCTGGGTTTCCCAATGTACTTTAAAAGTTGTTTCCAAGGGCGGCCAGTAAACTCAGTTGGTTAGAGTGCAGTGCTCATAACACCAAAGTTGCCGGTTCAATCCCCGCATGGGCCACTGAGCTGCACCCTCCACAGCTAGATTGACTTGGAGCTGATGGATCCTGGAAAAACACACTGCTCTCCAATTAAAAAACAAAAAAGTTCTTTCCAACTCCAAAAAAGTATTTACTCATGTTTTTTCTAGCTGTATCTCATTTTCTTTGGTTTCAATCTCAAGAGTTTAAAGTCTATTACTATTAAAGAAAAACAAAACTGGAGACATTGGGGGTAATGTTAAGGAATAGGTACCTGGAATGTCTTCTATAAAAGATTTCAAGTATCTATTCCTTAATATTCCGTCCAGGATTTAAAATTAATAAGAATTTTCTTATATATAACTAATGGCTAGCAAGAGTCTTATGTCAATGTTTTGCATTCATGCCATCTGATGTTCATGTTTGATGTAGCCTTAAATTATTCCAATTAATTAGATTTGAGAAGTATTTAGGCATAAGCTAACACCTTGAACATGAAAATTAAGTATTATTTAGGCAGAAAGGCTGTAGATTCTTAGTCTGAGTCACACTGCTAGCTGACTCAACAGCTAGCTACAGTCCTTTAATCTCCCATCTGTAAAATACGGATAGCAGCACTACCTACCTACCACACTGTTTAGAAAAAATGGGACTTATACTTTGATGTTCTTTAAAGAAGTGAGCTGCCTAATTAGCTGAGTTTCCTTTAATTGTTCTTAGTCTTTATCTCAAAAGTAATTAATCCTTGGTAAATAAATATTATCTTCCATTTGTACAAGAATGGGGAAACAGCAATCAAGACCCTGTAGAATATTTTTAAAGTTTTTAAAATTCTAAACAAAATCTGCCCCTTAAATGTTTTTAAAATTTTTTTGAGATAAAATACACCTAGTATTAAAACCATTTTTTAAATGTACAATTCAGTGCTTTTAGTACAGTCACAAGATTGTGCAATCACTACCACTAATTCCAGAGCATTTAATCACCTCAAATGGAAATCCCCTTCTCCCCATCCCCTGGCAACAAGTAATCAGCTTCCTGTTTTTATGAATTTGCCTATTCTAGGCATTTCAAATACATAAAATAATACAGTATGTGGCTTTTGTGTCTGGCTTCTTTCACTTAACATACGAGTATGTTTTCAAGGTTCATTCATGTTGTAGCAGAATTGTACTTATTTCCTTCTTCTGGTTGAATAACAACATTCCATTGCATAGATATACTACATTTTATTTATTCATTCATCAGTTGGTGGATATTTGGGTAGTGTCCTTTTCCGCTATTATGCGTTTAAGTCTGCCACTAACATTCATGTACAAGTTCTTGTGTAAACATGTTTTCATTTCTCTTGAGTACACACCTAGAAGTGGAATTGCTGGGTCATTAAGGTAACTAAGCTTAGCTTTTTGAGGAACTGCCAAACTATTTTTCCAAGTAGCTGTACCATTTTACATTCCCGCTAGCAATGTAGGAGGGTTCCAATTTCTCCACATCCTCACCAACTTATGTTTTGTTTCCTTCAAAATTATAGGCATCCTACTGACTATGAAGTGGTTATCTTGCGTTCTGATTTGCATTTTCCTAATGACTAATCACATTGAACATCTTCTCGTGCTTATTGGCCATTTGTATTTCTTTGGAGAAATGTTTATTCTATTCTGTGCCCATTTTAAACTTGGGTTGACTTTTTTATTCTTGAGTTATGAGAGTTCTCTGCATACTCATGGGAGAGCCTACTTAGATCAAAGCCAACAAAGAAATAAGAGCTGTCAGAGGGCAAGATTGAGCCATGATGATCTTTTTTGAACTCTTGTATTCATCCATGCATAAAGTCACTTATCTCCAAGAACTTTAGTTCTATGAACCAATACATTCTTAGGGGCTAAGCTGACTAGAATATGGAAGGATATCTATCTCCCATGCCAGGGTTCCTCAAGTAGAATGAGACTCTTCCCCCGTTATGTTTTTCTGATCCATCCCCAGGCCCAACCCTATAGTACAGGCCGAATAAAGAGGTAAAATACATCTGAATGATGCTTGGCACAATTAGAAGTGCTACCTCCAACCCCAAGAGGGCCCCTGGCAGAAACTTCAGACCACAGGGACCTTTGCACAACCTCCCAAAGGTTTATAAATGCCACAACTTAAAAAATAAAGCAACAAAGTAAAAAGGAACCAATTTCACCAGGGAGAAAAATTGTCTTAAAAGTGCTACAGTGGCTAGTTAGGACTCTGCAGAGAATACAGAATCCCTGCAATTAAGCATAGGCATGGGTGCCATTTTTAAAAATTTTATTTATTTTTCAGTTATAGTTGACATTCAGTATTATATAGTTTCAGGTGTAAGTAAGCATAGTGGTTAGACATTTATGTAACTTACAAAGTGATCCCTCCAATAAGTCTTACACCCATCTGACACCATATATACGAGCATAGTTATTACATTGACTATATTCCCTAAGCTGTAGTTCACACCCCCACAACTATTTTGTAACTACCAATTTGTACTTAATCCCTTCACCTTTTTCACCCAGTCCCTAACCCCTCCCCCCATCTGGCAACCATCAGTTTGTTCTCCGTATGTGAATTTGTTTTGTTCATTTGTTTTTAGATTCCACATATAAGTGAGATCATATGGTAAATTTGTCCTTCTCTGACTTATTTCACTTAGCATGATACCCTCTAGGGCCATCTGTGCTGTTGCAGCAAGGTTGCCATTTTGAGGAGCTTTGTAACTTACGTGGATTTGAACAGGAGAGGCTGAGGAGGCAAAGGTAGAGAAATTAGAGGTAGTACATGAAGGTGATGTACAGCTGCTTTCTATGTGTCTTTGGAACATGCATGAGGGATTCAACTTTTCTATATGAAAACTAATGACACTGTGGTAGTTAGGCAGAACAAGACTTAAGCTATATCTTTGCCATCAAAGAGCTTCTGTATGCTACAATGGTGCCACAATAAGAGATATGTGGTCACAATAGTATGGCTATACATTAATCATGAGAGCTCCAGGTGCTTCAAAGAGAAAGAAACACATCATGACACAGAAACAGGATCAGTAAACTACATTTATTGAGTGTTTACTGGGTACTGGGCACATCAGATACAAAAGAATCAGGATTGAGGGCAGATAAGAACTTAAGAAATGAAATATACACATTAATTTTACCACTAATTCTAACTAGCAGGAAATTAGAAACTTGTACAAGTTATACTTTATAATGAATTTCTGATGCCTGTCAAAAGGATAAGCTATACATACAACGCAATAAAAAAATGTTTAATTGTGCTTAACATCATAGAATTACCCTAAAATGGGTTGATAAAATGCCTATACAGCATTTATTCTTATTATATACATACATTTCACAGAAAAGGTTGCTTGAAAAGTACAAATGCTTTGACCACATTGCTGAGAAATCTATGGTCAACAATGATACATGCAGCCCCTCTAAAAAACAGCATCTGCAGTCCATTTCTCCTTCAAAGTCCACCTTATTTTCAGTTTAGCTTCCTATCAAGTTCTCTTCAGAACTTTATATTTCTTTTGTCTGGTCATCTTCTTCGAGCTTCCTAATTTCATTTTTTAAACAATTTATAGTTTCACGACTTGCTTTTAATCTCTCCTTAAGCTCTGCAATTTCAAAGCTTGTTTTTTTTTTCGCAGCTTCCAATTTTTCTCTGGTTTTCACTTCAAGTTCTGCAACTAAAGAAAACATATACTTTTATTGAATTATTTCATTTTTCTTACATAACTAAGATATGTCATAGAGTAATAAATGAGGCATTTCCTGAGGTCAATGTTTCCATGATGAAATGTGGACAACTTAAGATACACAACATTAAACACAGGGAGTGTGGGTAAGAAAGTCTGAACTCCCAAGAAGAGGATCTCAGGTGTTTTCTGTAACTAAGAATGAAATCCTGGCCAGTAGTTAAAATTTTAAGACATAATATCCTTGTTTTTCTCCACATACATATTAATTTGGAAATAAGGGGACATATAATCCAAGTGATGACATCCAGCTAATAAGAACACTAAATGTATAGTGTTGTTAAATATACGTACAGGTAAAACTTACATAAACAGAATCACACTGGTAAACGAACCCATATCTTTTTTCAAAAAAGATAGCAGTAACTGTCTAGGTTTGAATTGCAGCTCTACTATTTATTAGCTGTACCACTCCGAGTAACTTCTTTATTATCTCTATGCTCATTTCCTCTTCTCTAAAATGGGGATTATAATAGCAAACACCTCATAATATTATTTGTTGAGGAGGTTTTAAATGAATTCATGTATATATGAGTCTAGAATACTATCTGGCACATAAAAAAGCCATATTAACTACTATTAAAACAGAGGAACATTAAATGGCATTTAAAACATTCTAGCTGGCTACATAAAAAATTACTAAAGAAAATATCACTATTGCAAAATAAGCTATATCTATTTAAATATTCCACTTGGATAATGTAGCATTATGTTTTACAAAGAAAAATGCCAACTTTCATCCAACGTTTCCATCTTGTGGACATTTCAGGTTATTGCTGCTGCTGACTAGTAAAGCACAGTTGTACCTTTGCTAATATAAGATGATCCCTAATTGGAAGCAGCATGGTTTGGTGAAAAAAACCCAAAATCCCCTGAAATCAGAATGATGAGTTCAAATACACCCTCAGCCCCTTATTAGCTAAATGCTGATATCTCTAAGTCTCCCTCAATCTCGTCCTCCTACATGATATGGTTAAAACCTTGTATTTCTCAGAGGATTTATGAGGATTAAGCAATACAGTTGGCCCTCCATATCCACAGGTTCTGCATCCATAGATGGAAAATACTGGGGGGAAAATCTTATGTTGTTGCTAATGTGTACTATGCAATTAGGCATATGATGATTGCATGTACAGACTTTTTTTCTTGTCATTAAGGCCTAAACAATACAGTATAACAACTATTTACATAGCATTTACATTGTAATAGGTGTTATAAGTAATCTAGAGATGATTTAAAGTGTACAGGAGGATGTGCATAGGTTACATGCAAATACTATGCCACTTTATATAAGTAACTTGAGAATCAGCAGATCATGGTATCTGCAGGGTGTCCTTGGACCAATGCCCCATGGATCCAAGGGAAGGCTGTATGTATACATAAAATATCTAGCATGTTAAAAACATGCAACAATGTTTCCTTATTTTGCTCATTGCTGATCACTTTTTTCTTTGATACATTTTATAGCACAGGTAAATATTTATATTGCCAAAATCATACATATTTTCTTTGTAATTTATTTCATTGCTTTTATTTGTAAAATTATTTTCACCTTTATCAAAAAAAATTTGTACCTTTTGACCCCCTTACCCATTTTGTCTATCCCCCACCCCCTGGCAACCACCAATCTGTTCTCTTTATCGATGAGCTTTCTTGTTTTTGGTTTTTTAATTCCACATATAAGTAAGCTCATACGGTATTTGTCTTTCCCTATCTGATTTATTTCACCTAGCATAATCCCTTAAGGCCTACAGATGTTGTCGCAAGCAGCAAAATTTCACTTTTTTTTTTTTTACAGCTGAATAGTATTCCATTGTATCTATAGATACCATATCTTCTCTATCCATTTATCCGTCAATGGACACTTAAGCTGTCCCTTTATCTTGGCTACTGTAAATAATGCTGCAATGAACATGGGGGCACATACATCTTTTCAAATTAAGTGTTTTCATTCTCTTTGGGTAAATACTCAGAAGTAGAATTGCTGAATCATACGGTAGTTCATACGGTAGTTCTATTTTTTAGTTTTGAGAAACCTCTATATGGTTTTCTATAGTGAATGCATCAATTTATAATCCCATCAATGTTGCAAGAGGGTTCCCTTTTTTCCTCAACCTCAAGAACACTTGTTTGTTGACTTTTTGATGATAGCCATTCTGACAGGTGTGAGGTGATTTCTCATTGTGATTTTGATTTGCATTTCCCCGATGACTGATGTTGAGCATCTTTTCATATGTCTACTGGCCATGTGTATGTCTTCTTTGGAAAAATGTCTATTCAGATCTTCTGTCCAGTTTTTGTTTGCGTTTTTTTTTTTGCTATTGAGTTGTATGAGTTATTTATCTATTTTGGATATTAACCTCTTATCAGATATATGATTTGCAACTACTAATTTCTCCCATTCAGTAGGTTGCCTTTTCATTTTGTTGATGGTTTCCTCTGCTGTGTAGATGCTTTTCAGTTATTGGCTACTAGCTTTTCTTATTGATGTATAGGAAGGAGCTCTTTATAAATTAAAGAAACTAGTCATTTATAATGCAATATTTTTTCATGAATTGAAACAAAGTCTTTAGATTTTGTTGACAATGCTTTTCACTTGCAGAAATTTTTATTCCTTCTTCCATCTCTCTCCACATCAACTAAAAAACATATACTGAGTGAAAGGCACTTTGTTAGATGCTGGGGTACAGAGGCATGAGATAGACAAGACAGACAAATGCAGTACAGTGTCATGAGATAATCATAGGGAGGCATGGGAGCAGACTGGATTCATACCAAGGGAAAAGGGTATGTGTGTATCAAGAAAGGTTTCTTGACAGTAGTAAAATCCGAACTAAGTTTTAAAGAATGAGAAAGGAACTAGGTAGTTGAAATAGACACAGCAGGCCTTGGAAATAGCACATGTACATGTGAGAAATAACATGGAGTCCTATGACTGAAACAGTTTTAAATCTAGTCAGGAAGACTGATTTAACTCATTTGTCAGAAGGACAGCATTCACTGTAGATATGGATTCTTGTTGTTTGATTTAGTTACACTTTATTTTTTGTCTTTTCTTATGTATATTCCATATATATATATATATGCATTCCATTATGTATATATACCACATCTTTATCCAATCATCTATCGAAGGACACTTTGGTTGTTTCCATTTCTTGGCCACTGTGAATAATGCTGCAATGAACATAGGGTACACATACGAGTATCTTTATGAATATTTTCAAAATTTTCAAGTAGATGCCCAAAAGAGGGATTGCTGGGTCGTATGGTTGCTCTCTTCTTAATTCTTTGAGGAACCTCCATACTCTTTTCCATAGTGCCTGCACCAATTTACATTCCCATCAGCAGTGTATGAGGGTTCCTTTTTCTCCAAAACCTCTCCAACACTTGTTATTACTTGTCTTGTAGTTACACTTTATTTTTGACAAATCGTCAGATTTCAAAGGGCACAATACATTTGGAAGAAGACCTAGTTAATTAGCAACAAGATCCTGGGGGAAAACATTTTAAAACTTTGTTTAGCTTGTCCTGGTTTTCTGCTTTCTATACATTAAACGTTTATATATATATATATATATATATATATATATATATATATATATATATATATATATATATGTNTGTATGTATATATGTATATGTATATATATACATATATATATAAAGTATTTGTTTTAAATTTCCAAATGAAGCCTCAACCTAGAGAAAATCTATCCAAAGAAGAATAATTATTTTTGCAGAGCCAATATAACTTACTAGTTTGAAGTACAGACCGCAAGGCTTTAACACAGAGATATAACAGCTTATTGGTTAAGAGTACAACTATGGATTTAAATCCTGGCTCTGATTTGTGACAAGTTATCAACTCTATGCTCCAGGGTCTTTACTTACAAAATAGGACTAATAGTACTTTCCTCCTACGGTTATTATGGTATTCAATAAGTTAAGAAATGTAAAGTGCTGTCTAGTACACAGTAAGCTCTCATTAAGTGTTCACTATTTTAACTATTCCTTGTAAAAGCAATTATTACTATTAAAAGCTAGATCATTAGTGCTTAAATTTTCATGGGTTTACTAGCATAAATATCTTTACAAACTTTTAATATGCTTCATAATGAGTAACTTCTATCCTGAATACTACTCAATCTAAAAATATTACTAAGTTTTTTACAGCCTAAATTCTGAGGGCTGCCTGGGATATAGTCCTGGCTCTACCACTATTTAGTTCTGTTAACATGGGCAAGTTATTATACTTAACTGCCCCAGGCCTCAGTTTCCTTTTCTAAATGGATTATCTAATAAAGTTATAGATTTAAATTTTATAAATGTACAGATTTAGAATACAAACAGTAAGCACTCAATAAATGTGATATCTTATTATTACCAAATATTGAGTATAATGCCCCCAAATTGGTAAAAGTATAACATATCTTTTTTTAGGCCTTTGATTAATATTCCTAAATTGCTTTCCTAAAAGGCTAAGGCAATTTACACCCATACAAACAATTGATGAGAATGCACTGTTTACCACATCCTTACTAGGTACAAGTATTAAAGATTCCTTTTGCTAATTTAATACAAATATGGGCACCCAATGTTTGGTTTGCATTTTTACAATTACTAGCAGAGCCAAATATTTTCCCATTTTATTTACTAGTGATCTCTTCATTCATCTGTCTGTCTTTTGTCCATTTATCAATTGAAGTTTAAAATTTTTCTATTTTATTTGTTCATTTTAGTTTTTAAGATATTCATCCTTTGCCATATTTTCTGCAAATTTATTTTTTCTTTGCCCTAAAGTTAAATATTTTTTACAACGAAAATAATTTTATGGTTGGGGGTCACCACAACATGAGGAACTGTATTAAGGGGTCGCGGCATTAGGAAGGTTGAGAACTGCTGGTCTAGACCCCATACCCTGCTTCTGC